ATTATTTTCCTTGATGTCCTTTTTATAATAGGGAGGGACTTAATTTCATGAACCTAAAACATAAAGGTTCTTTTTAGATGCGTAATCACATGGATTTTTTAGTAATCATAACTCTTTACAATGATATGATATTGTTCACTTTGAGCATAAGCTCTCATGGCTTTGCTTTGGGCTTCCCCAAAATGCCTCCTACCAATCGAGATAGTATTCCTCACTTATAAACCCATGATCTTCCACTAAATTAACCAATGTGAGACTCACTCCCAAAAATCCTCAACAGGATTTTGGCGAGCTGCCAAAATTTTTTCAACTTCAACAAATTTCACATTCTCGATCCAACCCCCACGCCATGTCCCCTAATTGCAACAATTAATGTTCCCCATTCGACTCCAAGTCAAGTTCTCACATCGGTAAGCCTCTATTTTTCATATTTGAAATTTCGTTCTCAAAGTCAATGTTGTATGTAGGGATCTCATCATCCTGACCCCATGGAATCTCATAATCATAACCCCACGAGAGGAAGCACAGCAGAACAAGTGGTGCAAAACCATTGCCAGAGAGAAACCATAGAGTGAAAGGAGAAGCAGTGGAAATGAATGAATAAAAAAATGTAGAGAGATTAAAAATGCAAAAAATTAGGTCGGATATGAATCTAGGTTAGAACCAGGAGTTCACAGCCGAACATCAGTGTTCTCGACAAAAACTCATCAGAACAGTTAATCAAGATACGCGATCAATCCAGTCCATATGCATTAGGTCGAATACGAATCTAGATTAGAACCAGGAGTTCACAGTTGAACATCAGTGTTCTCGACAAAAACTCATCAGAACAACTAATCAAGATACGCGATCAATCCAGTCCATGTGCATGTCTTTAGCCAAAATCGCAGCGTCCGTCCCATGCACGTTCTCGACCCAATATAGCACACTATAGTTACAACCCAAAAGTGAGACACAACCACTACCCATGCACAGACCCAAGTGCTGAGTTGCAATCCTTCTCCGTGCTGGCTTTTTGGCCCTTAATGTCAAATTAATTAATTGATGTTTTGATGTAACAAACCTACGTTCAATTATTAACAATTCTCAGTATTTTGTCCACACTGTAAGGTTGGGAATAATCATTTCAACGTCTTTTTTTTGTTCACTCAAATTAGAGCTATGTCCGTCTCCAATTGCATAGTTAAAAAAAGATTTAAACGAGACTAGCACAAGCTAATATATATATACATATATATATTCTAGGGGAGAGAGTAGAATATTCTAAACGTTGAATTTTGATGTCGCATACTTAGAAGGTCCAAAGCATATAATAAATAAATTAAGATTGCTTTGTCTTTTTTACCGTAAACAATTCGACGTGTAGTTTGGCTATTCGATGAGTAGTTTGGTAAGAACTTATATTATGAGCCTCGATGCCCTCGCTTGGAAAATGTCACCTTTTGAATTTGATTGTGTGGAAGGAGAAAAAATGAAAGTCTATAATTTTATGTACCCACTAATAAAAATAAATTGGCCATCTGGCCTTCTTTTTTCAAACAAATTCTCTTTTTTTTTATTGATGGCGGGTTAATGTGAAGTTTAAAAAGTCACGTCGTTAAACTCAGGGAAACTTTTGAAGGGACGACCCATTACACCGAACTGGTTTTGGATTAGTGGATCATTCTAAACTGTTTGATCAAGCTTTTAGGGTCGACCAAAATTGTAACGCGTCATGTCTAGGATAGATCAAGATTTGTAATCCAGATTCGATACCTGATGGCTCTGAATCTTGGACATGAGAAGATACAAATTGTATTAGAGCAGTATCTCTCCCAGTAAGATGTGGTTTGAAAACGAACTAATGTGAAAGTTGGTAGGTATGTGACACCCGGGCAAATGAGGGGTACATGAATGAATCGAAACCACTTCCAAACGAGAGGGATCGTGAGGATATGATAGCTAAGAAATACTTTAGAACATGGATAGTCACTCCATATACCAATAAGGTTCATTTTCCTTTTCGATAGCTCAATTATAAGAACTTCACGGTTAGGTATGTTTTGCTTGGAGCAATTCTAAGATGCACGTAACCTGTGGAGAATTTTTCTAGGACGCATGTGAGCAAGGAAAAAAACATGCAGGAAGAACTCGAGTTAGTTCGTGGGAATAGCTTTCACTCTTAGAAACAAAGAGTAGGTAACCTGACCATGTCAAATCCTAGACATGAGTTGTTACAATGGTTTGGGAGTCACACTCACTCATGGTCAAACAAATTCATTGTCGATCCAACGTACTAATATAGTTACATAAGCAAAGTAAAAAGTAATATAATCCAAAAAATGTATAAACAACCTACGTACCATAATTAAAAATTTTAATACTACTCGTAATTCAACACTACGAACCTAATAGCCATTTGGTTTCAAATTCCTCCCATAATTCTTCATTAATCATAAATTTTTACATGCTTGTCACAACCTTCCCTTTTAGTCATTTGGGTTTTAGTATTGAAAGTAGATGAGCAGTTCATTTTTACCTCAAACCTTTTCTTGATGAAACCAACTATTTTGACCCTTCTTGGCATTTTCGTGTGCCTACTGATATTCAAACCTCCCGACTTCAAATCCTCCATCAAACTCAGACCCTCATCCATTTCCTCCGCCTCGATCTCCACCGTCACATTCGTCGCCATCGTGTCCTTTGCCTTCGTCAATCCGCCAGCGTCTCCCCCTCTCCAATCACCTCGCCGTGGTAGTAAATCACCGTCGTGGCTTTTGAGTATTTGAGCGATGCGACATTAGGATTCCGCACAAAGACACTAGCCACAACGAGTATGCCACCGTCTGAGAAGGAAGAATGGGGAGTTTTAAATGATTATTAAGATAATTAGATGAAAGTTTTGGTGTTATGGATCACTCATGGACTAAAGATAGTACCCCCAACACTTAAACAAATGCTTCCACTTAATCGAGAGAGTGAATCAAGGTTAATTGGTTGCTTCTCAATCTAACCCTCCATTATAACAAATCAAACATTTATATATTTCTTTAGTTAGAATTTGAAACTAAAGCTCGTTTCTTGCGGATCCAAATTCTAAAGCACCAATACCATACATAATGCTACATCCCGTATCAGGGCAATGTGTCAAATCCGAGGATAAAGGAGAAGTTTAACTCGGCGATTGTGCCACTCCGAACCAATGGAACCATAGTGCAGATGCAAGTCCGATGAAGTTGTTGTCCTATGGGCAGCGTTTGAAATCCGTTGGAGATGGAAAATCACCGGTGGTATCCGACGAATGCTCTGGTGATGGAAGCAATTGGACGGTGGCTTCGAAAGCAAATCTCCAATTGGCGAAGACCATTTTTGCTTGGAGAAGGAATCTGGTACTTCAGTTGTTGTGAAGAAATGCATTTGCTTTAAAGACGAGGGAAGTTGCATGGATGATCCTCAACCCCAACGGTTCAAACTTGTTCCAACAAATGTTGCTTGGTTTATTAATTAGTTTAAAATGGGAATTGAGAATTTGGTCCAATATACTAGTAGTTGTTGGAATTTGAATTTAGTGTTGGCAGGCAAGTTTTGAAAATGCCGGAGTCATATTAGGGTTGTCGATTTTATGCTTAAATTCGTAGTTAAATGGTCAATAATTTTTTCTATTGTTTATTATATGTCCAATCTTTTATACGATCATTATTGTTCGTATTATTTTTCGTATATGTTTGTACGATAAATAAAATCGGTTATAATTAAGCACGAGCATGAATAGAATTAGAGATAAAATAGGGGCCAATTCAAAGTCGGGCATGTCATATATTTATTCTTCCCAATACATAAGCAACTCACAATGTGTTGGTTTCAACGAGTTCAAACCATTGACTTTGGGTGTCTTCGAGGCAAGTTGGAGCACCATCAGTGCAAATACAAGAGTTTGTCACAATTTTTGAAGAATTAGAGTTTTCAACCTGCAAGCAAAGGCTCTTCCCATCTTGAGTTATGGTGGCCAAATGAAGCTTAGTGTTTGAAATGGCTCTCCAAGAACTCTGAGGGCCGAAGCAATCTGTTGAGAGAGATGGCATAAGGCCTTCTCCGCTTGTTTTTAAGCATAAACCAGTGCTTGACATCCTAATTGGAGTGCTATCATTGTCATGAGTCCATCGACCTGAGTTGGAGCAATTACCCATGAACATATCTTTGTTGTCATTTGAGACTTGGATGCATTGGCCACTTTGTGGATGATATATAACATACGAGAACGATGCATTGGAATTTGGATCTGTGCGCCGTAAAAAAATGTCTTTTACACTTGTTATAGATCCATATATTCAAAATCGTTCATATATTTATACTTACCTTGCAACATAGTCTGCAATAGTTGAAACTTCTGGACAAAGTTTGGATTTTTAATTTGAGTCCAATTGGAGTCGAGAACTCGAAAAGTTTCTGTCGGGCCTGCCTGACCTTCCCTATAATAATAGCTACCTTGCCAAGTCCATAATGCCCAATCTAAATCTTCTTGTGCAAGATGAGCTGTGAAGCAACTCATGAACCGATTTTCTGCATCGTTAACCTCTCTCTGATCGTACCCATATTCGCTGACAAACAAAGGAAATGGGTTTGGTCCTTCTCTAACAAATTCAGCATGGTCTACAAAGCCATTGATAATATCTGCACAAATATTATTTAGTGGCTGGTTTATAAATTTACTCTCTGCATCTCCACTGAACGAATACAAGTGCACCTCAAAAACCAACTTGTTGTCTAAGGCGCTTGCATTCAAGGGCTTCTCTTTTAAGCATCGAAGATCATTATCAAAATTTAGGCCCGAAACAATCACTAAAACATTTGGGTTAATGTTGTGGATTGTTGTTACTCCTTGAGTAACATAATTGTTCCAATCATTTGCATTTTCATTGGTTCCTCAAATCTCGTTTCGTAGGCTCATTCCAACAACCTAAATGTCATGGAAAAGCGTGTGAGAATGTTTGAGTTTAGTTTCAAGAGTGTGAGAATTTTCCTTAATTTTTACGTACCGTTGGTTTCTTGGAAAAGCGTTGAACAACTAAGCTAAGACCTTGTAGCCATTCTTGAGGGTCAAAATAGCGGTCTCCAAAAAATCCATTGCCATCGTCAAGGGAGCAACACCATCTTGGCTGACTCATATGGTTGTCGGCAATCACCATTAAACCACTCTCTCCAAGCACATCAACAACAGCTTCATAGGCTTCAGCAATAGTCTTGTTCAACACAAAAGAATTATATTGAGCCAATCCGGCTTTTGCTTGCTCTAAATCGAGAAGGTCAAAATTCTCTTCAACTGTCCTATTTGCATAACGAGTGAACATTTGAGTTGCATACGTGAGTCGTACACAATTAAACCTCAACTTGATTGCCTCATCTGCCAGCTCTTTTAATGGCCTGTGGTTGAGACCTTCTATTAGCATGCTCTGTGTGTGGAAAGGCCAATTCACGTACACAAGCTTCACTCGACACCCTGTTGTCGAATCAACGATCCACCTTCCGTTTGTTGACAACGGTAAAGAATAAACAGAAGGAGGTAAAAACACAAACAATGCTAGAAAAAGAACAACTTGAAAAGTTCTTCCCATTTTTTCTTCTCTTTTATGAATCGGGGTGAGAGAAGCATAGCCCAAAGGTTGCTTATATATCTCATTAATAGGTTGAAATTTGTTCAAAAGATCAAAGATCCATGTAACCGTGAAACTCCTTCCATTTTTCTTAATTCAGTTGCTTTGTTAATAAATTGTGTTTCCACCTTTGATAATTTGTTGAGTAATAAGCAAATTTTTCTAACAAAGCTAGCAACGTTCATACATATCTTGCCCACAGAACCAATATTTTAACATTATGGCCCCTTTTTCTTAAGTAAAACTCGAAGCTTATTCCTGTCTCAAATTAAAAGTTAAAATAGTAGCTATCTGCGTTTATGATAAGTTCTTATATAATACCCCCACTACATTTTTTTTGAGTTGGAGACATTTTTCCACCTAATAATTCACAAATGCATAAAATTATTTTAATAATCTAAATTAATAAAAATAAAATAGTTAACCTATCAAATTATTGAAAATATTTTATTTATACACTTTTCATACAATACTATGCATTTATTAATTTATTTATTTAGATTATGGTTGTCCGTCTCCAATTGCATAGTTAAAAAAAGATTTAAACGAGACTAACACAAGCTAATATATATATACATATATATATTCTAGGGGAGAGAGTAGAATATTCTAAACGTTGAATTTTGATGTCGCATATTTAGAAGGTCCAAAGCATATAATAAATAAATTAAGATTGCTTTGTCTTTTTTACCGTAAACAATTCGACGTGTAGTTTGGCTATTCGATGAGTAGTTTGGTAAGAACTTATATTATGAGCCTCAATGCCCTCGCTTGGAAAATGTCACCTATTGAATTTGATTGTGTGGACGGAGAAAAAATTAAAGTCTATAATTTTATGTCCCCACTAATAAAAATAAATTGGCCATCTGGCCTTCTTTTTTCAAACAAATTCTCTTCTTTTGAATTGATGGCGGGTTAATGTGAAGTTTAAAAAGTCACGTCGTTAAACTCAGGGAAACTTTTGAAGGGACGACCCATTACACCGAACTGGTTTTGGATTAGTGGATCATTCTAAACTGTTTGATCAAGCTTTTAGGGTCGACCAAAATTGTAACGCGTCATGTCTAGGATAGATCAAGATTTGTAATCCAGATTCGATACCTGATGGCTCTGAATCTTGGACATGAGACGATACAAATTGTATTAGAGCAGTATCTCTCCCAGTAAGATGTGGTTTGAAAACGAACTAATGTGAAAGTTGGTAGGTATGTGACACCCGAGCAAATGAGGGGTACATGAATGAATCGAAACCACTTCCAAACGAGAGGGATCGTGAGGATATGATAGCTAAGAAATACTTTAAAACATGGATAGTCACTCCATATACCAATAAGGTTCATTTTCCTTTTCGACAGCACAATTATAAGAACTTCACGGTTAGGTACGTTTTGCTTGGAGCAATTCTATGATGCACGTAACCTGTGGAGAATTTTTCTAGGACGCATGTGAGCAAGGAAAAAAACATGCAGGAAGAACTCGAGTTAGTTCGTGGGAATAGCTTTCACTCTTAGAAACAAAGAGTAGGCAACGTGACCATGTCAAATCCTAGACATGAGTCGTTACAAAGGTTTGGGAGTCACACTCACTCATGGTCAAACAAATTCACTGTCGATCCAACGTACTAATATAGTTACATAAGCAAAGTAAAAAGTAATATAATCCAAAAAATGTATAAACAACCTACGTACCATAATTTAAAATTTTAATACTACTCGTAATTCAACACTACGAACTTAATAGCCATTTGGTTTCAAATTCCTCCCATAATTCTTCATTAATCATACATTTTTACATGCTTATCACAACCTTCCCTTTTAGTCATTTGGGTTTTAGTATTGAAAGTAGATGAGCAGTTCATTTTTACCTCAAACCTTTTCTTGATGAAACCAACTATTTTGACCCTTCCTGGCATTTTCGTGTGCCTACTGATATTCAAACCTCCCGACTTCAAATCCTCCATCAAACTTAGACCCTCATCCATTTCCTCCGCCTCGATCTCCACCGTCACATTCGTCGCCATCGTGTCCTTTGCCTTCGTCAATCCGCCGGCGTTTTCCCCTCTCCAATCACCTCGCCGTGGTAGTAAATCACCGTCGTGGCTTTTGAGTATTTGAGCGATGCGACATTAGGATTCCGCACGAAGACACTAGCCACAACGAGTATGCCACCGTCTGAGAAGGAAGAATGGTGAGTTTGAAATGATTATTAAGATAATTAGATGAAAGTTTTGGTGTTATGGATCACTCATGGACTAAAGATAGTACCCCCAACACTTAAACAAATGCTTCCACTTAATCGAGAGAGTGAATCAAGGTTAACTGGTTGCTTCTCAATCTAACCCTCCATTATAACAAATCAAACATTTATATATTTCTTTAGTTAGAATTTGAAACTAAAGCTCGTTTCTTGTGGATCCAAATTCTAAAGCACCAATACCATACATAATGCTACATCCCGTATCAGGGCAATGTGTCAAATCTGAGGATAAAGGAGAAGTTTAACTCGGCGATTGTGCCACTCCGAACCAATGGAACCATAGTGCAGATGCAAGTCCGATGAAGTTGTTGTCCTACGGGCAGCGTTTGAAATCCGTCGGAGATGGAAAAGCACCGGTGGTATCCGACGAATGCTCTGGTGACGAAAGCAAAATTTTAGACGGAAATTTTGTAGGGAATGGCACATATTTAGTTGGCCACTCTCCACCCATATTTATAATAATTTATATTTTAAATAGGGGATTTGTTCACAATAAATAATAACCTGATTTTGAAGGCAGTCAGAATTCAGTTATTCTCTCTCTCCTTTGTTACGCATTTTTCTTCCAACAACAAATTTCCTCTCACCGAATAATGCAACAACTCTTCAGCGTTTGTCATAGTTGTGGATGAGGCTGACTCTCTTTGCAGGCACTCCACCGCCGACTATGGACTTAGAAGGGCACTTTTGCCCTATTGTGGCCAACTTGGCCCCAGTGTGTGTATCCTCTGTGGATCACATAAACTAGTGCACCCCTCGAGGTGGGGCTCGCAAGCCCAGCCGCGACACTCTTTGGTCGCGACCACTTCTCCTGTGAACTAGTGCACCCCTCGGGGTGGGGCTCGCAAGCTCAATCGCGACACTCTTTGGTCGCGACCACTTCTCCTGTGAACTAGTGCATCCCTCGGGGTGGGGCTCGCAAGCCCAGCCGCAACACTCTTTGGAAGCGACCACTTCTCCTATTGAGCAAAGTCAAACTCTTTGACAGTCTCTTCAGTTGTTGGCGCTGTCTTTTGGCCAACTCTTTGTACTTTGCCACCTTCGCGTGACTATTGTTGTACTTGAACTTCTAGCTTGATGCTCACTTCTCGAGTGGATATTGGTTTTGACATCTGTTTGTGGAGTCATCCACCCTAGGCACAAGGTGGTGGCTCAAGGAATACACGTGTGCTAGTATGCCCGAATACCTTTACGGGGTGAGAGACTTATTGATGTTGCTCTCCCCCTCTCGAACTCAGCTGCCTCTTTGCAGCAACGTTGTCCCCCCCATAAGGACTTACATTGTGTACAATTTTTGTACTTGGGCGACACTTGTCTTTTCTCGACTCTCGGCTTCTCTGCTTGCAACCAGTGACACTATTCCTCTAATGTGAATGGTTCTTTGGAAGGCACCGTCATGGTGCTTTCTGTTTCATCTATCTTGTCTTACTTCGAAACTGCAAGCTCAAGCTGTCTAGCAACCACCTCAAGCCATCATCCTACACAAATAATGCTAGACATGAATGTCGTAACGATCCTAGTTTTCTATTAACCTAAAGTTGCTACCACATGCATGATGTAATACCTTGAGTGGAAATATTCTTTAAAAACGTATTCATAAGACAATACCATGGACTTATATGTCTAAGAAAAGATCTTTAAAACCGTATTAAAAGAATAATTCATAAGACAATACCATGGACTTATATGTCTAAGAAAAGATCTTTAAAACCGTATTAAAAGAATAAATTAAAAATGGACATAACAAAAAAAAAAAAAAAAAAACAATACCCTATACTAACCTATACTCTTCAAAACTAAATACGACTATCCTATGCATGTGTCATCGTCTTTAAATTTGCGATGTCGCCATCAACCGTGCAAGGGTGCCTTGCATTTACCTGAAATATAAAAGTAGCACGTGGCTTGAGTATTTTAAGAAATACTCAATAAGTGACACCACTATTGGGGTTAGATGCAAACACATGCAATGATGAATGAGACCAATCATTTAAAACCTATTTCCTGAGGTAACTATCCTAAGTGGTCATTAGATGTGTATTTACTATTCTACACACAACCCATACGTACAAATATGGACGACCCACCAGTCACTTCGCACACCCGATAGGAATAGTGACCATCATACCATCATGTTAAAAATGACGATCATTTTTCTTTTCATAACATACGCGTCCGTATGCATCATAAAGGGGAAAAATATCCCAATGCATGTTTACAAAACTCTTCACAAAATTGTTTTAAGAAAATTTTAGATTAAAGAATTTTAATATAAAATTCTAAAAATAATGATAAAGTATTCAAAGTTTTAAATTACCAAAATACCACTCAACTAAAAAGAAATTAATGAAATACCAATTTTCAAAGAATTGTAGGACTGAGATCCGCGTACCCAAAATCCTTCCATCTTCAAATCCAACTATTAACTTGAAACTTTAGTATTATCATGAAATTTTAGCATGATCAAGAAAACTAAAGGTAACTCAGATTCAACAGCTAGATTTAAAGAACGAAGTAGGTAAGCCTTTGATCGAGGAGATATTTCGAAAAGAAATTTCTAAAAAATGAACTTCAAATTCACAACGATTTGGAGGTTTCACTTTTAGTTTAAACTTATTCCGTAAAGTATTAAGTAGGGGCTTTCATTTGAAACAAGAATTAAGTCTTGAACATTCTTTAAGCTCGAGTTGAAAGCTTTTAGATTATGGGTTCCATTGCTCTCGGGTTTTCCAAAATTAAGAGACTACGGTCCATCAAATTTCCTCAAAGCAATTCTTACAACTTTGAAATTAGCTCCCCAACAAGTTTCATGAAGACACCGAGAGTTGAAAACATCTCAAACACATTACCTCAATTTAAGTTTTCATGGCCGTGGGAGGGAATAAATTTAAAATTTCAATTCGAGACTACAAGAAAATTTATCTCTCCAAACTAATACCCACCAGTTTCTAGGCACTCAATAAGAATTGTCATGAAGACAACGAAAGCTAAAGACATCAAGATCAAGGAGAATCGAAGAAAAAACTTATAAATTCGTTTTTTATGAATTTTAGAAAAATAAACAATTCCATGTTGACCATTGGATAAAGCTTACACGCCCAGTGGGACTCGAACCCACAATCGCCTGATTAGAAGTCAGATGCCTTATCCATTAGGCCATGGGCGCCTTTTATTATGTGATAACTCGTATACAAATTGAATTTTCAAGAGCATGGAGCCCATTGATTTTGTTACAAATCTCTTGAATTGGATCTTTTCTTAGAATAGAGATTTCTTTGGTTTCCAAGTCTTAAAACCTTGGTTCTTTGTTCTTAGCATTCTTTATGTCTTGGCATTGTTTTGGTGTGTGATAAGCTTACTAAATACATGTTCCTAAGGTGGCAACACTTTATCGGAGGCATCTAAAATATCGAGATGCATGTTGAGTATTCAAAAGTTTTAAATTACCAAAATACTTTTAAACTAAAAAAAATTATGAAAATATCAATTTTCAAAGAATCATACGTTCGAGATTAGCCTGTACAAAACCCTTCGATCTTCAAATTCAACTATTAGATTGAGCTCTAATTTTAACAGGATCAAGAAAACTCGAAGTAACTCAGATCCAACAACTAGATTTAAAGAAAAAAGTAGGCAAGCCTCTGATCGGAGAAGATATTTTCAAAAGAAATTTCTAAGAAATGAACTTCAAATTCAGGATGAGTTGGTGGTTTCACGGCAAATTTAAGCTTCATCTATAAAGTATTAAGTAGGAGTTTTCAAGTATTAAGTAGGAGTTTTCATTTGAAACAAGAATCAAGTCTTGAAAGTTCTTTACACTTGAGTTGGAAGCTTTTAGATTATGAGTTACATTGCTCTCAAGTTTCCAAAATTAAGAGACTATGGTTTATCAAATTCCCTTAAAGAAATTCTTACAACTTTGAAATTAGCTCCCCAACAAGATTCATGACGACTCAAGAGCTGAAAACATCTTAAACACATTCCGTCAATTTGAGTTTTCATGGCTCTAGGAGAGAATAAATTTAAAATTTCAATTCGAGACTACAAGAAAATTTATCTCTCCAAGCCAACAACCAGTCAATCTATAAGAAGTTTCATGAAGACAACGAAAGCTAAAAACCTCAAGAACAAGGAGAATCGAAGAAAAAACTTATAAGCTTCGTTTTTTTTATGAATTTTAGAAAAACACCAAATTTTTTGACTGAGGTCTATTAAGCTTTAATACAAGATACCATAAGCTTCAAGAGGATGAGAGGAGAAGGTTTCATAAAGAAGTTAAGGGCTGAAGAGCTCTCGATCGAGTTTCTCAATAACCTTTAGAATCTACGAAAATGGGTTTCATGTCGAGAGAAAGAATCGAAAAATTGGGGACATATGCAATAATTCATCCTTCCAAAATCAATTCTCAAAATTGAGAGAAAGATAAGGAAGAAACCTCATGACGAGGTGAATTCTTGATCTCTAGTTCTTCCTTGAAACATGATTTTCAAGTTTCATGAAGAAATCAATGGTATGTAGAAGGTGATTTTGAGAGCAACCTCACAACAGGCCACACATTTCTTCCGGGGAAGAAGATAATGACATTGAACTAGCCATGTCTGTCTTAAAATATGACACAACTTAGTTTTTTTTTTTTCCAATTAAACTCAACCCAGATGGGTTCTCTTAAAATTCTTTAGGGTTCTTGAAACTACGACTAAAATATGGACCTACCAAAAAAAATTTGGAGCAATTCAGATACCCGAAGCTCAAGGACCAAGGACC